TGTGACAACTGTCAACTTGCATGTAACATCTCTAATCGAAATGAGATGCTATAAACGGTTTATATCACTTGTGAATCGGCTTCTTGAGTCCATTCCCTACTTCATTTGACAACAAATATATCTTGGTTTTAGTAGATTACGTCTCTAGGTGGGCCGAAGTGCAAACAATGCCTACTAATGATGCTCGACGTGTCCACAAGTTTCTTAAGAAACTTTTCTCCGGGTTTGGGATCCCTAGGGCCATCATTAGTGACCGAGCGCTCAAGGTTTTTTCCTTTAAGTTGCTTGGGCTTAGTACAATTTTTTTATTATCCATAAAAAATCCCTCTCAGAACTAGCTGTTAAAAAGGAAAGAGTAAATAGAATGACGGAAGTGAGTTTTGTCGACGGAGCTTTGGCCGGAAATAGTAAGTTTCGTTGAGGGAGGGGAATTTTGGAAAAACGATTATCCAACCCCCGGTGGTAATTTACGTATGGACAAAAAAATATATTTGATAGTGAGGGACACCCCTTAAATTTGAAAAAATGATTATCCTACTGTCATTTGTGTATAGGAATATAAGTGGTAGGTTGGAAAATTCAAATATAGAACACTATTATTATTAATAAACTTAATTTCTGTTGAGCTAAACTCATTTGTTGTTCGATTTTGAACAATGTGTAATAGTAAAATGGCATTCCCTATCTCTAATTATTTTAAAAACCTAACAATTAAACTAAGTTCAAACTACCCTTAATTTGTATTGATTTTATGATTGTACGGCAAGTGTTGAAATAGTCTTTCAGTTTTGGGTTACATCAAGAACAAGTTTACAAATCGAATATGCGATAAGTTCGTGAATGATTGTCTAGCTAGCAGCGTATATAGAGACAATGTTTTTAACACTATAGACACCAAGTGTATTCTACAATTATTTCCGAATATGAAAACATATCATGGACTTTTTTTAACCTAACGAGTAAGGTATTTTCATATTTACAATTTTATTTTTATTTAATTTATTTTTTAAAAGAGGACATCCCTATGAAAAATTTCTGGGTCCGCCACTGAGTCTGATTCAAGAGAGAAGGAAGGATGAGGGAAGGTCTAATTCGTGAAATAGAGAGATATATATAGAGAGAGAGTAATAAATGGAGGAAGGGGAAGACAGGGGGGGAGCGGCAATGACGCTTGGGTTGGGTAGGGTTTAGTTGTTATTTTTTAGTTGATATATATAGTGTGTAAATTTGCTTAAGTGATACCTGTAAAATAAATGTCATTTTAGTCATTAAAGTGTTAAATTACTACCTTATGTGTCTTCCAATTATGATATTATTGTTTATAGGTATCGGTCCTCTACCGATTTTTTAACGGCCCAATACCGGTTGGACCACTAAAGTGCGAGCCATTTATGTTACCGGGTCATGTTCCGGTTCGATTTTGATAAAAAACGGAAGAATACCAATAAAATTTAACAATTAACATACAAGGGGTTGCTTAGTGCTTCTTACTTCCTAGCTAGCTCTCCATGGAGGCATATTGAAGACAACGATTAAGCTAAATAACAATCATGCCAATGGCCATCATTATACAAAATTAACAACAATCAATCATCATCTACAATTCCGTTATTAATTAATTTGCAATATAATTATGTGACGCACGTTGTGATTAGAATCAAGCCTTGGGTATCTTGAATAACACAATTGAAATATGTATATGCGAAATGGGGGAGGTGCGGTGGGCAATTATAGCGAGGGAAACATTAATCTTTCAAATCATTGCATGTATTATGATATGGTAGAGTTGCGAAGAAAGAAACGTTTGGTTTTCTAAAAATATTTCATTTCATTCATTTTATTCTTTTTCATGTCAATTTTGGTCAACCGTACGTGATAACTGACAACTCACCGTGACAATTTAACAGAAAACATAATCAATTTAATGAGAGCATCCGCACCAATGCAATTGCAAAAACAATTGCATTTGTATTCTTTATTGCCAACTCATTTTTTTTTAATCCACATCACATTCATTCATTCACCTACATCAATGCAATTAACTTGCAATTGTAGATGTAATTAAATATTATATTTTAATTATAAAAAATTAAGTAAAAGAGAAAAGAAAATGATATAAATAAAAAATTATCATTTTTTTAGGCCTTTTTGACTTGCATATGGAATTGCATTTGTTGCAAGTTTGCAAATAGAGAATTGGTAGCCACATCAATGCAATTGGTTTTGCAATTGCAAAAACTCATGTCATGTCATCTTGCAATTGGGAATGCAATACCAATGTGGATGCTATGAGTGAGATCAAAGAGGTATTGTAGGAACAAGAAATTGGATATTCAAGTTTGTGACATCCATGAATGGTTTCAAGAAGCCAATTTATAATCCTGCTAATGAAAAACTGGTAACCAAATAAACAAGGGCTTGGCCTAGTGGTAGTACCATTAGCCTAGAACCTGGAGATCACATGTTTAAGTTCTTTAAGTAGTATCTTAATTATAAAAAAATAAACATATATATATCACCCTTATAAAAAAAATGGTAATGAAGAAGGTGCTAGATCGATGCCAATCTAAACTCAGCCAAAGTGATGAAGCTTAGTAGGAAATTATGGTAATTCTGAGAAATATAAACAATGAAATATGAACACGACGATTTACGTGGTATCCTCGTTCATACGAACTAGACTAATCCACGGAACACCCTCTTAAGGAGTCTTCGGCTAGAATCTTATTAGGGTTTTCTCTCAACAATTCTACAGAGAAACACGGCAGCAACAAAACATATATATGGTTACCAATTCCGAAAACACTCACTATGGAATTGGAAATCACAAAAAATACCCGAACAAACGACAGTTAGTATACTATATGGTATCTCGTTACCAACTGCATACCATATGGTATCTTCTTCGTTTTTAAGTCATTTTTAATTTTTTTTGCACAGAATGAATGAGTTCATCATGATCTATTGAATCTATCAATATCTGGGTGAACAAAATACAGGACCAAAAAATATCACCCAATACCACTCTGGTATGTTATGGTACACAATGGTGAAAGTCGTAAATGACAGTTAGTATACTCCTACTATCATGTATTCAATCATCATATAGTCTTGGTATGTTCATACCACCATGGTAAGTCTTTTCATACCATATGGTAGGGGTGGCTATTTGGACCGGGACCGGATTAAAAACCGGAAACCGGACCGTATAACCCGGACCGAGACCGGACCGGGACCGGATAGTAAACAATCCAATCCAATCTTTGGGCTTAGATTTGAGGTAAAAAAACCGGATAAAGACCGGATAAGAGAGCTCAACACCCAAAACTTAAGGGTAATTTGCATAAACGGTCACAAACCTTTGCACTTAGTACAAAACTTAACCAACTGCTCACCCTTTAAGGCTTTAGGCCACTCAAATCCCACAATCAAAATGTAAAATCAAGACCGAATCGGGACCGGACCGGATCAAAACCGGACCGGATCAAGACCGGACTGTATCCAATCCAATCTTCGGTCCTTATATTTTCAAAAAAACCGGACTGGACCGGATCAATTTGAGCCAATTTAACCGGACCGGACCGTATAGCCACCCCTACCATATGGTATGCTCTTATTTAATACAAGTCAATACCATATGGTATATACTGATAAAAAGCAGCTCATTTTTTTTTCAAAAATGTATCAAAGTAGATATCATTTTGAAGAGCACAATTAATCTGATCTAACTGTGCAAAAAAAAAAAAAAAGTAAAGTCCAACTTAAAACGAGTGAGAATCACCCGTTAAAAATTAAGGAGAAAAAATTAAAAGCTTTCCAGAAGAGAGAATGAACACTGATGTAACGTATAATAACTGGACTATGCATGGTTACTCACCATAAGATAATGGATAAGAACGGCTCTCCATACTGTTCACAACAAATTATGTGGATAGGTCACTAATTGTGGAAATTGTTTCAAAAGAACACATAGAGTATGGAGCGATATCCATAAAGCAAATTCACAACAAATTATGTGGATAGGTCACTAATTGTGGAATTGTTTCAAAAGAACACATAAAGCAAATTCACAACAAATCCTGCAGCGATATCCCCTTTTTTTGGTTTCAAGGAACTGCTGTAGCTCTCCATCGCCTCTCACTCTCGGTTGCCATAAAAGAACACATAGAGTAGTGCATTTGCTTTCTCGGATCAGGGTTGCGAATGAGGTAACTCATTACTTTCGATAAGCGTCAACTTCCAAGTGCCCAACTGCTCTCGGGACGACAGATGCGAAACCATGTAGCTGGCGTTGGAATGCAATAACTTTCTCCTTATTTTGGGCGCATTTTCTCCAAACGACTCTTAACCTCCACAAACAGAAAAGATTGCAGATCTGATCTGTAAGCAAGAGAATGAGAGCAACAAACATACGTTAATATATATATTTAGTTAGGGTGGGGACTGGCGATACGTCCACCTCGGCGTGAATGTGTAGGATGCGGGAATCGAAATACAAACACACGCTGACTATTAACTAATATATATGACAATTTAGTCACTCACAGGCTTCTGAAGCAGAATTCATGGTTGGTGTTGGTGTATATATACAAAGATGAACTCAAACACTAACAATTCAAATCATAAAAATCGAGAATTACACACTCCAAGGACATCGCACAGCAATGACGTCGACCCAATTCCTTCAGGCATCCCAAACTGCAGCCGCCGCCGCCGCCGCCATTTCTAAGCAAACGGTTCATATTCCTTGGGTAGGCGGCAGCAACAGCTCATTGAGCTTTAACCATCAGCGTCGTAGTTGCTTGTGGGATACGCAAACAGCACTACCACTCCGATCTGCGAATACAAACAAGTTTAACCGCTTGCTAGCTGCAGCTAAGGACGACGATATCGAAATTGCCGTCGCAAATCCAGACGAAGAAGAGCTCGATCGCCCAGCGGCGGCCGAATCGGTTCATGGGTTTCTGGTCCAACAGGGGCGGGTTCACCGGCAGCGTGTCATGGTTAGATCATTCGACATTGACAGGCACAAGAAAGCAACCATTGCCGCACTGATGAGGCAGATACAGGTTTGTACCCAATTGGTGGGTGTTATAATAGTAATTACATAATTAACTAATTGCTGCCATGACTCTGACTAGTTAGCTAATTTGTGTGCAGGATTCGGCCTGCAACCATGCGACAAGTTTGGGGGTAGAGCTGGAGAGCTTCGCTTCGACGCCGTTTATGACGAAAAACAACCTCGGTTGGGTCATCACTTCTATACAAATGGTGGTGGACCAATATCCTTCATGGTAATTATTATTTTTATTATTATAATTAACCAAGTTTTTACAAATTAAATTTATATATACGTAACCCTAATACTAATACGAAAATTGCTTAACTTCTACGACTCTGATAAGAAATATAACTCTGCTAAATTACATAAGAGTACTCAGAGTATAACATTATACAACTCGTACTACACATACTCTAATAGTAATTGCTTGCAGGCGCGATGTGCTACAAGTGGACACGTGGACATACACCGTCGGGAAGAATGGGTTGGCTAATGACTGGGTGATCCTAAACGACAAGACCGGTGAAACTTTAGTCCGAGCTACCAAGTATATATATATAACTACGTACTTATAACTACTATTTGGTTAATATTTCTTGCATTATGATACTGAGTTAAATCTTAACGCTGGTTAATTTTGCATCACGTGCGTAATTAATTACGCTACAGCACTTGTGTGATGATGAACTACGAGACGAGGAGGCTGCACAAGTTCGTGCAGGAAGTGAGGGACGAGCTGGCGTGTCGTATTGTCCCGGTGGAAGAGTCCGTCGTCCCCAAAAACGAACAGAGATTACCGCGGCTGGATTTCGAGACCGCCGACAGTGTCACCAGCGGCCTCACGGTAAAGCAACCCCAGCTCGATTTCTCATTGTCTCGTCTCGATATAGTTATTAACTAGTACCGTACGTCTAAGAGAGCACTAATCTGTTACGTTTTTTTGGTGCGTGGAATATGTACGTACGTACGTATACAGTCAAGGTGGTTCGATTTGGACGTGAATCACCATGTGAATAACGTCAAATACGTGGACTGGATCCTGGACAGCGTCCCAGGCTCGCTCCCGGAGGGGCACGAGCTTCACGCAATGACTATTGAGTTCAGAAAAGAGGTTGCTATAGATACCGTTGTGCACTCTCTTTCCAGGCTGAATAGCAGTAGTACTGCAGCCGCCGACGGGAATGTGAACGGCGACGACCATGGCGATTTTGCTCCGGTGGAGGTGGACCATTTGCTGTGCCTTGAGGATGGGTCTGAGATATTGAGGGCAAGAACAACTTGGAATCCCAAGAAAAAAACAACCTTATAACTAATTACTTCATTCATTCTCACTCACTCACTAAACACGCAGTACCACACCTGACGGAACTCGTGGGAGAGAGGCGTCGACTTTTCTTTGTGTTTTTTGTGCTGCCTTGGAAATGCTTTATCAATTTTCAGGGATTTGTGTTGTATTTGATTTGATTCGTTACTTTTTCTTTCTAACTGGTGCTCTTTTCATTTATTGTCCAAACAGATGTATTAAAATAGATATTTGTGGTTGGATGTACATTGTATCACGTTATAAGTTCTGTGTTACTTTTGGTCATTCATATTATCAATTTTTCATATTCGATATTTTCTATACACATATAATATTTTTCATATAATTGTGTTCTTTTCAGCTAATTTTATTCGTTCTAGTGATTTATTGTTGTACTTTTCAGCTTGCACTTATGTACGGGATCGTTTGGAAGTTGCGAATGTTAAATCGTTGCATTGTAATGAATCACCATAATATAAAATGCATGTATTTTAACGATACATTGTTTGGTTGTTGAGATTCTACTTTATGCATTGATTTACATAAAGTTACTTTTATGGGGAAATGTCATATTTATCCTCAACTTTTAGTATAACACAAAAACTATTAGGGATATAAATGGAAATAAAAAGTTGACACAAATCTAAAAGCAACAATCACAACTTTTAGTTGAGATTGTATAATACATCTTTTTTGTGATTGTTGGTGGGACCTACCTAAAACCATGCATTGTTTTACATTTTGACACTTCCAAACATTGTTTGTGCACAATACATGTATTCAACTAACACAACTCTAACAATCACAACTTCGAAACGATCCCTACAATGTCAATATACGTAATTGTCAACATGTTTGTTGAAGTTATGAAGAAAAAATTGCTACCAAAGATAACAAGAGATATTCGAAGTTCACCAATATGGACATGGTTTTTATTTTATACCCAATTCTTGTGTAAGTATGAGTATGAGCAAAACCCAAATTACTTTTTAATATTGTAATGGATATGCACTATCCGTTTCCGATCCAATCCGTTGAAATCCAAGGTGTTTGAAAGCTACAAATGGGTGCTTATAAATAAAAATAAAAATAAAAATCTCCGTCAAATGTAGTCGATACTATTGTTGAACACGAGAAAGAGTGTGAAAAGATTCACAACCCTTCAAAGAAAGTTCACTACTACAAGATGAACTTTGCAAATTTACAATCGTACCCTTCTACAATTTAGTTGCACATAAATACCCCTCTAGTATCGAAACGTAAAAAATGTACCCTTATTTTGAAAATTCTATTAACGAGCCGTTTAAGAAGGTCAGAAAAGACCAAAGTACCCACGTAGTAAACAATTCAAATTTCTCTCCTTTTTTAGTCCCCCCATTGAAATTAATATAAGTTTAAATTTCCTAACCTCATGCAATAGCGGCTTCTCCTTCGTCCGTGTCTCCCTCCTCCCAACTATTTCGTTGACCTATCCTCGAGAAGCCCCCTGGTCTCATATGTCATAAACCAGTTGGTCCCAATAACTCTAGTTGTTGGGAGAAGGTTATGTTGGATCTTATATCATTATCTAACACGCTCCCTCAAACGAAAGCCAACCCATGAGCTTGAAGTTTGCACTGGCCCACCATACCATGTGCTTTTAATCAACTATTAATATTGGGGGTCGTGGAGATTCGAACACACGACCACTTGGCTAAACCAGCTCTGATACCATTCATAAACCAGTTGGTTCCAATAACTCGAGTTGTTGAGAGAAGGTTATTCTGGATCTTATATCATTCTCTAACACCATATTTCTCGATTGCAGGCAAGAACCCGACAAGTGAAAGTAGTGCGCCTTTGGTGACCCTCCAAGGGCGGCCTTCTCCGATCGACTCTATGCAGTGTTGAAGATTGGCTCCAAGAAACAGAGCTTCCAATGTCTGTCTTTATTGAAGATGTGTCGTTTTAGTTTAAACTGAAGACTGTGTCGTTTAGTTTCTTTCAGTTTGGTCACTCTAAGTTTGTTTTAGGGTCAAATAAGGACAAGTCGAGTGTTAAGGCTTGTGTTGCTTAGTGCAGAAGTTTAGAGAGTCTGTTAGCTGGTTTTCAGGGTTAGTGGGATCAATTGAGGTTAATAGGAGACCGAGATTGTGGGCTGAGAATACTGTACTTATAGTTTTTCAGCATTAATCAATAAACTTGTCAGTTTACGTCATTAGGTTTTCACATTGTGGTATAAGAGCCTAAGTGAACTGTAACCAAAGAGTTTGCAGAAGGGCTTTCAAGCAAAGTGAGAACAGACTGCTTTCAAGCAAAAGAGAGATAGAGAAACAAGTGAAATCAATTGATTTATGGGTTGGGAAACACGATGGAATAGTGAGGACATCTGTTTGGTGAGTGAAGCCAAGAAAATGAGTGAGGGAAGCATTGGAACAGCTTGCATCCCTAAGTTCGATGGTGACTATGGTCACTGGAGCATGTTGACGGAGAACTTGCTGAGGTCAAATGAGTATTGGAGAGTTGTTTCCAATGGAGTTCAGGAAACTGCTGAGGGAACTGAACTTACCACAGAACAAATCAAGGCTCTGGAAGACCTGAGGCTGAAGGATCTGAAAGCCAAGAATTACTTGTTCAATTCCATAGACAAGACCATACTGAAAACGATCACCAACAAAGGAACTGCCAAGGAGCTTTGGGACTCCATGAAAATGAAGTATCAAGGCAATGCTCGAGTTCAAAAAGCTCAACTTCAAAGCCTCAGAAGGAGTTTTGAAGTTCTGGAAATGAAAGAAGGTGAGTCAGTGACATATTACTTTGGTCGAGTTATGGTGATTGCCAAATCCATGAGAAACTATGGTGAATCCATGCATGATGAGAAGATCGTGGAGAAAATCTTGAGAACATTGACTGAAAGATTCAGCTATGTTGTCTGCTCAATTGAGGAGTCAAAAGACATAGAAAATCTCTCAGTTGATGCTCTTCAGAGCTCTTTGTTAGTCCATGAACAGAAGTTCCACAAGAAAAGTGTAGTGGAAGAAGATCAGGTGCTGAAAGCTTCTTATGAGAGTGGTGGCAGGGGTGGCAGAGGACAAGGAAGAGGCTACTATGCTGAAAGAGGAAGAGGAAGGAGTGGAAGAGGTTGGAACAAGGAGTCTGTGGAATGTTACAAGTGTCACAGACTAGGGCATTACAGAAGTGAATGCCCTGAATGGAACAATCAACAAGGCTATTACAATTAGCAGGCACACTTCTCAAACTCTATGGACATGAAAGAGGATGTCTTGCTGATGACCTGGGTTGAAGAAAATGTTCAACACAAAGGAAAGAAAGTTCTGAAAGCTGAGGAGTGCAGTTCTGCAGCTGAGTCATTGGTATAAGATCAGAACATGGCGGCAATAACTTTGTGCTCAAAACTCCGAATGTTATGAATTTTTTTTTGATTCCGCATAACTTTTCAAGATCTATAACTTTTAATATAATCATAATTTCAAAATGTACATGGATTTCTGAAAAGTAAAGGTAAAGTTATTCTTAAGGTCCCGTATATCCACAAATAGTTCCTGTTTTGACAATTTCATCCTAGTAAAAGTTGTAGATCTTGAAAAGTTATGCGAAATGAAAAAAAAATCGCTACGATCGGATACCCGAGTGCAAAGTTACGTTCGTTTGAAGTTTTGGCCGAAGTTAGGAGTTGATTGGAAAAAAAAAAAAATTTGGACCAAACCGCTGGTTGGGGTGGCGGTTTTGGGCCAAACCGCCACCCCACCCAGCGGTTTGGTCCAATTTTTTTTTTTTATAACCGCCCCCTAGGCCCGCGGTTTGCATAGAAACCGCGCCACCGACAAGCGGTTTTCGACCAAACCGCTGGTTGGGGTGGCGGTTTTTGAAAAAGGGTGGTATTTTTGGAATTTTTTGGGGTTGGGTGGTATTTTTGGAAATTTTTTTTAAAACAGTGGTACTTTTGGATTTTTTCCGATTTATGTGGTCCTATCACTCCCATGTCCAATGGTGGAAAGAGAGATGTTTTTATAGTGATTGACGATTTCAGCAGGAAACTGTGAGTGTTCTTTCTGGCTCACAAATCTGAAGCTCTTGGAGTATTCAAAATCTTCAAAGCTCAAGTGGAGAAGGAGGCAAGAACAGAAATAGGTTGTTTGAGAACTGATCGAGGGGGAGAGTTTATGCTTACTGAATTCAGAACTCTTTGTGATGAAGCTGGAATCAGAAGGCAACTTACTGCTGCTTTAACCCAACAACAAAATGGGGTAGCTGAAAGAAAGAACAAGACCATAATGAACATCGTCAGATGACATGGCGGGTAAATATGACGTGTTGGGTCGTCGTTTTTTAGTGTTAAATTGATCTGACTGGGATTTTCCGTTTGCCACGTCATCACTTAACGGCCTCCTTTAACGGAGTCTAACGGAGAGTGACCGAACTTGGACTGTTCAACTAATTTAAGTGACTACTAATGAAATAAATCAATTCGAGTGACCAAACGTAAAATTTTGTAGCAATTCAAGTGACCAAACTTGCAATTGAGCCCTTTTTTCTTCGATCATTCTATTGTTCTTCCCCAAATCGTTCCCAATACCTAGCTAATTCTCTCATAATATATAATCCTCAATTCTCTCATCAATTATCTATCACTATCATTTGAAGCTATAGACCCAGGAATTATTATTGCTATCAAACCAGGTTGAGTGCCAGGTTTTATGCAAGAAATATAGATGTCTTCAACGATGCGATCCTTGCATGAAATAGTTGAGGTTGAAGACATCACCATGGCTGAAAGCTATAAGAAGATTATGTCAATGGTGGTGGGAAACCATCTCGAGTTGGACCAAAAGCTCCAGGAGGTTATGTTCATGATGTAAGAAAAGACATGAAGAAATTTTAGACGATGTTGTTGGAGCTTATGTACCAGATGGTGGGATCGAATTTTGCTATGCAACATATTACAGCCGCAGAAGAAGCCATAATGGTCTTGACGGCCCTGTTCCAACGGACAAGTCTATATGAGT